CTGGCAGTGTCTTCTCTGCCCAGACGGAGCAGGGCTGCCCCGTGGCTCCTGGCCCAGTCCAGGACCGTGGATCCTGCCTGGCCCTTGCCTCCTTGCAAGATCCTGGACTTCCCGAGAGCCGGAAGTGTGAGTTCAGTGTCACAGCTCTGGGTTCGGCTCTTTCACTGCCAAGCTGCTCAGGAGCCCGAGACCCCACGGGTGACCTTAGCACTCCGCAGCCTCCTGGAAGGGCCCTTGATCTTGGCCAAGCCACACGGCTTGTCCCTGCTCTTGATGAAGCCAAGTGACTTTGGATCCCTGGGGATTTGCTCCTGAGGAAGGGGTCTGGATTCATGGCTTTAGAAGCAGAGAGTGGGGTTGGTGTTGTAGCGTTGAGGGCTAAGCCACTGCCTGCAGTGCCGGTGTCCTGCATCACAGCGCCAGTTCCAGTCCTGGCTGCTCCACTTCCGATCCAGCTCCCTGCAAATGCACCTGGAAGGCAGCAGCAGATGACCCAAGTACTTGGGCCCCTGCCACCCACGTGGGAGGCCTGGATAGAGTTCTTAACTCCTGGCTTCAGCCTGGCCCAGCCCTGACTGTTGCAGCCATTTTAGGGAGTGAAACAGGATGAAAGATCTTCCCCTGCCCCTTTCTCTGTCTCTCTGTAACTCTGACCTTCTGCCCTTCAAGTAAATCCATTTTTTTTCTTTTTTCAAAATAAAACAATGACTGTTCCCTTTAGACTGACCCAGAGGCTCTGGCCTTGGGGAGCCCAGCCTCCCATCACCTGCCGTCTCACCACGCTGGGTGCCTGTTCATGACCTACTTTGCCCCTGCTTCCTGCCAGCCTGTGTGCCCTGCCCTCCTAGTCCTGCCTTCCAGGTAAAGGTGCAGTCTCTTCTCGGTCCCCACCCGTGCCCATCAGCCCTCCCCGGATGGCCAAGGCCTTTCAGCAGATCATGTGCCTGGTGGCTGCCTCCCTTGGCCACACACGCATATGTGGTCCCCAGGGGACACAGGCCATGGCACTGGAACATGTGTGGGTGTGAGTATTGTGTGGAGTGTATTTTATTCTCTTAGGAATTAAGGGTCACTCCTTCCCCAGAAGAATGAACATCTGCTTTGACAATGGAGGTGAATAGAACATTTGAACTCGCTTTGCAGAAGTGCCGTGTGGAGCAAAGTGCTGTCTGCCACTGGCTCGGTTACCCGAGTGATACCTGCACATCCAGAAGGGATCAAGTGTCTCTCCATGTACTTAGTAAATCTTTTACCGGTGCGCTGCGGGATCCCTCTAGCCACACAGGAGAGTGTGAATTTTTCCCCTTGTAAGCAAGATCAGTTCCGTTATTTCTTTGCCAGGCTCTGGTTCTTTTAAAATGCGTTTATTACTGATTTCCTCTGTTTGCTTTCCCTTAAAAAGTCCATTAGAATAAATACCCGAGCTGAACGCAGGCTCCTCGGTGCTGGAGTTATGGGCGGCTGGCGGCTGATGGCACTGACCATCTGCTCTGACCTGTGGGGTCTCCGGAGCCATCCACATCTGGCGGAATCCAGACGAGGCAGTCTGGGAGCAAGCACTGGACCGGAGCCAGCCGCGCTTTTCTCGGCCGTGAAATTAGGGGTGGGATGAACGACCTCGGGGGTGTTTTTGGTTTTGTTTGTTTTGAGTTCTGACTGCCCATGAAATGTTACACACACACACACATACACACATACACAGACACGCACAGATGCCCCATATGCACGTGTACACACAGATACCCTATGTACACACACAGATACCTCATGCACATATACACACACAAATACTTCATACACATATGTACACATGGATAACCCAAGCACGCATGCACACAGATACCCCGTACATGCAGATACCCCATACAGACATGCACACACGCACACACACAGATAACCCCACGCACACACCGATACTGCAGGTCAGTGGAGGCCTTAACACCTTGCCTCACCATCCAGACGTGATCCTGCCAACTCTTAGGCCCTGTTCAGAGCTTGCACGTTAATGAAGGCATCCCACATCTTCTGCGTTCTTTTCTGAGACTTGAATCAACCTTGTGCGTTACTTGCCCATTTCACAGGTGCAAAGATGGAGGCTCAAGAGAGGTCAAGTGGTGTCCCTCAGGGTGGGTACCACGCAGGTCGAGAGGCGGGGCTGACTTCCTTGCCTGGGGGTTGCTGCACTGAGCCACACTGCCATCCAGAAGGCACGAGGATGCGCGTGTTCTGTGTCTCATCACTGCAGTTGCCCCCACCCCCAGCCCCTTCCAGCACACACAAAACTGATTACTGGGCCTGACTTGTGTCCAGGAAGGATTTACGGCAGCCGAAATGAACTGTAATGGCTAAGCCAACATTTTGTCAATCAACTAGTTCCCAACATCCCAGCTAAATAAAGGTGAAAACTGAAGATGGACAGACTTCACCATGACCATGGCAGTGTCTTTCTTTTTACAAAACATTTATCAGGACACACTTGAGGCATTCCGAGAAGCACACACCCCGGGCCCCGCTGGCCAGAAGGAATACATGTCCACGTTCGCATCCATTCGCTTCATTTCCTTTTAAAGAAACAAGGCATGGCGGCTCCCGTTGGCTTCTCCTTGTTCGCCTTCCTTGGTGGTCACTTCCCAGTGACTGCTCTGTGACATTTAGGGCCAGATGATTCAAAACACTTCCGCTGTACCTGGGGAGGCTTTGCCGATTATAAAAACAAGAAGTGCATTTTCACATTGTGTTCAAGGGTGCTGTAGCACAGAAGTTATCATTGTAGCCATTTTTACATGTTTCAGCTCTGTGGCATTAACACTTTCACACTGTTGTGCAACTGTTACCATTATCCATCTCCAGAACTTTCCATCAGCCCAAGCTGAAACCCTCCGCCCACTACAGCGCTACCTCCCCAGCCCCTGGTGACCCTCGTTCTGCTTTCTGCCTTACTCGGATAACTGGAATCCTGCAATGTTCGTCCTTTGACATCCAGACCATTTCACATAGCACAGTGTCTCCAGGGCTCATCGTGGTGTGGCGTGCGGTGGAATTTCATTCTTTAATGTCTATACCACAATTCTCTTAAAGATTGATGTTATTTACCTGAAAGGGAGGGCAGAAAAGGAGAACGAGAGACAGAGAGCTTCCATTGTCTGGTTCACTCCCCAAATGGCTGCAACAGCCTGGTCTGTCTGGGCCAAGCCAAAGCCAGGAACCATGCCAAAGACAACGGCCCAAGTTCCCCAGGCCCCTGCACCCACGTGGGAGACCTGGAGGAAGAAGCTCCTGGCTCCTGACTTTGCCCTGGCCTGTCGCTGGCTGCTACAGCCATTTGGGGAGTGAACCAGAGGATGGAAGAGATCTCTCTCTGTCTCTGTCTCTCTCTTTCTAACTCTGCCTTTCAAATAAATGAAATAAATCTTTAAAAAGAAAGAAATTTTATTATACCAAAATAAACCTCTCTTTGGATTCCATTTTCTTCATGAACATTTTGATGTGCCACGTGACATTTTGATTGCTGGCCACGTGCTGAGTCCTCGCGTGATTCTTGAGGGACCGCCATACTGGTTTCCACAGCTGCAAGGTTTGACATTTGCATGACGCACAAGGGTTCTAATTCCTCCACATTCTTGCCAACACTTCCTGTTTCCTGTTTTTTTCATAATAGTGCCCTAATGGGTGGGAACAAAAATTGATTTTTTTAAATATTTATTTGAAAGGCAGAGCTAGAGAGAGAATCTTCCATCCACTGGTTCACTCTCCAAATGGCCACAAAAGACAAGGCTTGGCCAGGCAAAAGCTAAGAGCTTTATCCAGGTCTGCCATGTGGGTGCAGGGACCCAAGCACTTGGGCCATCCTCTACTGCCTTCCCAGACCATCAGCAGAGAGCTGGATGGGAAGAGGAGCAGCCAGGACACAAACTGGCATCCACATGGGGTGTCCGTGTCACAGGTAGTGGCTTAGCCCACTGCTCCACAACATTGGCGCAGGAAGTGCTTTTAAGTGTGTTGTTCTCTTAGGAGGAAACTGAGGCCTAGGGAGCCAGAGGTCACACCGAGAGTCTGGGGTCATGAGCAAGGCAGCCACAGAGGAGGCCCAGATCCTGGGTTCCCAGCCCCCACCTGCATCTATCTACCAACACACGATGTCCAGTTCCCACTGCTGTGTGTCAGAGGGTGTGTAGCCACGGCCACAGGCCACATACAGGCTTCAGTGTGTCTGATTTGATCCTTACTTTGTTTTATTAAAAAAAAAACACTTAATAATATCAATATTCAAAAAGTGAGGGATTTTATATTTGAAATTCCTAAATGTCTGATCCCCCTCTCCCCACTCCACCCATATCATGAGGTTTTATGAGCCTGGACCCCATTCTAGTTGGACAACAGGGCAGCAACCCTTATCTGTAGATGGTCAGCATTTTGCCACAATCTCTACCATGCCCCAATATCTTCCTCATAGGCAGCTCCCCACATGGGCTGACACAGTGACCTGGAGTTCCGGCCCTCTGCCCTCCAAGGCCGTGGACTTTAGACCTTCTCTGTGCACAGATACACTGTTGTGTTGGACATACAGGCTGCTGCCCTTGCTCCCTGCTCTTTGCTGTGTTCTGCATTGTCTCTCTGAATGTCTTGGCTAGTTCTTCACTGTAGAAGTGAACAATCCTTCCAGTGAACCGTGCAAACACAGAGACCTTACTGGCTAGCCTCACCTGGAGCCAGTGAGATGCCCTGCCACCTGCGAGAATCCCTGGGCATCCTTAGCAAACGCCTGCCCTGTCGGGCCTCTCCCTGTCCATGTGTCCCATGCAGGGTGGGATTGGGAGGAATCTCGCAGGTCCCACGGGGCATCCTAGTTTATAATGAAACAGAGGAAAACTTCCCTTTGCGCGGTTGGTAGAATGGAGAGCATTCTCCTCACCGCTGGAGCTGCTTCCCGGGACAGCCTCTCGGCAGCGGCCCTTCCCGTGCTGCCGGCACACACCCTTCTGCTTTCTCTCCGCCGACAGGTGAGGAACGACCTGACCGGGGTGCTGTATGGCGAGGACATCGAGATCTCAGACACTGAGAGCTTCTCCAACGACCCCTGCACCAGCGTCAAGAAACTTAAGGTGGGTGCAGCTGGCCATGGCCAGAACACCGGCCATCCCAAGGCTCCCCGGGCTGCCCTCACCCCCTGATGCTGATGGAGCCCCAAGTTCATGTCCACCTTGGTGCCTCAGGCTTGGGAGGAACTCCCCAGTGTCAGCTTCTCTGGGCTTTTCCCTGGCCTGCTGTCCAGCACTGGCCCAAGGTGCAGACTGGCAGGTGCACAGCCATTTGGAGCTTTCCCGGTGATCTTGAGTCCGTCCACCCAGACTGCGGGATGAGCAGGGCCCACGTTATTGTCAGCTCCATTTTGAAGTGACTTAGAGAGAGATGTGCTTGCCTAAAAGCCTACAGCAAAGAATTCTGTTGTTGGGCTGGAAGCCCCGCCCAGCGGCAGTCACCTAAGGAACAGAGAGAGTTCGTGAGCGGAACTCCAAGGTGCAGGGCCAGGCAGGAGAAGCCGGAGCTGACCAGGGTGTGGGCGGCACCATCATCTCGTGCATGGGGTCAGCAGCAGTTCCTGGGAGCCTGAAGTCTTGGGGTGGGGGTGCGAGGAAAGATGATGAAGCCACAAACATCTGAAACCAGTTCCTAGGAGCCTTGAGTGCCGACCTAAGAACCTCCGTTATCTTTTACCCCGAGGACAGTGGGAAGCTACAACCTCCTTCAGGCACTTCCAGTCCCTCATGCTCACACTTAAGGCTGCTGGCAGGGAGACCCAGATGCCACTGCTGACGGTCCCTTCTGTCTAGAGTTACACCAGGCCGAGCCGGTGGCAGCTGGGGAGCTGTTACCTCCCAGGAGTTCGCAGATGGGGAGCCTGAAGCCCAGACACGGAGAGCAAGGGAAGCAATGCACCAGTTGCTAATCACCTCCTCCAGGGTGGACCCCAGGCCTGGACACCTCTGCAGATGAGCAAAGAGCAGCTACGGGAAGGCAGCTGGCTGCCCATGTGGCTAAAGCTAGATTGTCCACACCCTCCCCTTCCTGGTACCACGGGCTTTGCAGTGGGAGGGTGCAGTCCAGCTGCTGGGGCCAGGAGGATTCGGGCGGGGTGGCAGCTGTGCAGGGAGCCCCTGCAGCAGGGCTGGGGGTAGAGGGAGGGCTGGTGCAGCTGGCCCTCTCCTGCCACGCACAGGGACAGCTCCCCAGGGCAGGGACTTGAAACAGCTTCCTGCCCTCGGAGGCCCCGTGGCGCTCTGCTGGCTGTGGAGTGTGAAGAGCCTGCACGCACCTCGGAGCAGAGGGGCACGCAGCGGGCACTCCGCTCGTAACCGCGCCAGCTTGGCAGCAGCTGGCAGTCACAATGGGGCGGGCGGCCTTTGGAGCCGGCTTCCCTGGGGACCGGCCGAGTGGGGCCCCCGTGCACAGCTCTTGACCTTCACTTGTTCAGCCCTCGCCAAAGCCTCAGACGGGGGGAACTTCTGTGACCCCTTTTCACAGATGAGCACTTGAGTTAAGGAACTAACCCTAAGACATGCAGCAGAAAGAGGGCAAGTTGGATTCAAAGCCAAGTTCGGGCCATGCCCTAGCCAGCCTTCTCCGCCACCCCCCAGAGCTGCACAGGCACACCGAGCATGGTGGCCCGTGTCCCGGAGCCCTGGGAACAGGAGCGGGACCTAGTGCTCTTGTCTGTTAGCCGAGGGCTCCCTTCTGTGTGGAGGGCCCCTCCTCTGCTTGACTCCTCCCAGAACCTTCCTCAAGTCTACTCCAGGCTCACCTTCCCCGGCCACGTCACTTAGAACTGAAATTCCTGCCCTTCAGACACCAGCCTCCCCTTTCTGCAAATTTTCTCCACTTTGCTGATTGACAGAAACACCACAGAGTCGGTGGCTTCGGGCAGCAGAATTGCATCGCCCAGAGGTCTGGAGTCCAAGGCCTGGGCAGGACCACGCTCTCTCGAAGGCTGTGGGGCTCCCCCTGCCCGTCTCTTAGCTCCTGGCATCACCATCACCCGTGGGTAGACTTTGGCTCACAGCTGTACTGTCTCGGCTTCGCCTGGCGTCAGGCTGGGTTGAGAGCCCAGGCTGTTTTACTCATCTAATTCATCACACCTGCAGTGCCCCTGTTTCCGAGTAAGGTCAGCTCCCGAGATACTGGGGGTTAGGACTTCGATATATCCTTTAGAGGACGTCATTCTGCCCACTGCAGCATTTCACAGACGATTCATTTTACACACCTGGAAAATCACCTGCCTCCCCCGCTCCGTGAGAATGTAAGCTTCTGGCTGCCTTGGTTGCTGTTTCGTTTCCCATCACCCAGAACTGAACCTGCTTTGTGGAGCATGTGCGAATGACATCACCAGTCTGGACGGACAAAGCCGACAGAGGACAGAACAAAATACTCGGGAACAAAGAAGAGGCCGTCGCTGCTGGAGAGCTCCTGGGCAAAGCAAGTCTCTGGTTTGTCGAGACACGAGCGGGAAGACAGGCAGGAAAGCTCACATCCACAGCAGCCCAGAGTCCGCAGAGCGAATGCCAAGAAGAAGAAAACTCTGCGATGTGGAAGGCACACTGGAGCCACTTGGCCAAATTTCCAAAGAAATGGCCAAGAGATCAGGCCGGTGAGAGGAAAGATAATAGCGGTGGGTACTGGAGAAGGGAGATCCTCAGGGGAGACCAGGAAGAACGCAATAGAACCAGCAGCTACCCCCACACACACCCAGGCAGGGGCCCAGGGGGCCAGCGGCCGCTGGAGGTGCTTCCAGCTGCCAGGTGCAAGGACTTGAGCCATACAATAAAGTGGAATCGGCTGTATCCCGGAGGGCAGGCTCAGTAGGCACAGGTCTATGTTTCTGTAAATGATGCAAACGGCACACCTGGCAAACCTTCCGTGTGGAAGAATTCCAAGGAACTCACGCAGGCTCGTCATGCTCCAAGGGGGTGGGGCCCAACTGCTTCCTTCCGATGACAGAGTAGGGAAAGGCAGGGGGTTGGGGGACAACACAACTTGACAATGGAGCAGCCTGACACAGGCTCCCCGCCCCCCGCCACCCGCAGGTGGCCAGGGCCCACGGCCACCTTGATGAGTCCCATTGACCGCACCCGGGATGTGTTGTGATGGAGACGGCGCTTGCCCCTGTGATCTTCATCCCCGAAACCCAAAACCCCCGTCTCACCATGAGCAGTAACATCAGACACTTTCTAGTTGCAGGCCTTTCTACAAGATACCTGACCATTACTCCTCGAAATTATCTAGGTCATCAAAAATAGGGACTGAGTCACAGGCACTTAAAGAGACGTGACAAGGAAATATGAGTGGTATCCCAGATAGGCTGCAGAAATAGCCAAAGGACCTCAGAGGACAAAGCAAGGGAAGCTGGGTAGACGTTAGCTAGTAATGTATTGATTAATTATTACAAACACACCGTACTGGTGTAAAGATATCAACAGGAGAGCTCTCCATATCCTCTTTTCTATAAATCTAAAGCTAGTCTCAAATCATAAGTTAATTTTGAAAAATGTGAAACAAATTTAAGAGGACTCAAGCTAGACCTACTAGACAGAACCATACCAAATGGCCAAGAGTGAACCATTTTGATAACCACTCATGGACATGTGTGCAGACCGGCTGCATTTGGACAGAATTGGCCAGGAGTCATGGTTAGATGCGTTTTGGTGAAGGTTTTGATAGACCAACTTAAAGGGGGAAAAATCTTACAAATATCAAGGCAAGGAAAAAAAAAAAAAAAACTTGCCCCAGAGACAAAACGGAGGCACTGGGGGACACAGAGGCACTGGGAGACTCACATGGTGCCAGCCAGGCCCCCGTCTTGAGGTTCGTCCTGAAGGCCCCTGTGGCGGAGAGCAGTATCATACCTCAGAGCCAAGGTCACAGTAGGAGCGGCTGAGCAGGGGCCATGGAACCATGGAAAGAGACCTAAGGCTAAGTAATCATTACCAGCGTGTACACAGGTGCAAGCATTACATGTAAATTTACATAATGCAAAAACAGATGCTGTAATAACAGCAATTGAGAGATAAAAATCCAAATTATATTCTCAGAGTGACTCAGTGGGGGGAAATAGGTGTAAAGTTCTGGTCTTCAGTAGCAAAGGGACTTGGGTCATGAGTTTCCTAATCAGAGAAATGTAAGCCGCAGAAGGCCAGCAGGACCTAAAGCCATTGAAATATGGAAGGCCCCTCTAGAACAGCAGCTTCGTGGACCGCCGTTGTGCTAAATGGCATCGCCCTAAAATCAAGCAAGGAAACCTGTTAAGAACTCAAAGGGAGAATTGATAGAAACACAGTAGAACTGGGAGACAAAACATCTCCCTCTCAGTCTGGAACAGATCACCTGGCAGAAACAAGAACCTAGGAGGGCGTCCAAGTTCCTACCAAGAAAGTCAGAAATACAACCATCTCTGTGCAATGAAGACTGGAGGCCGGGCCAGCCCCTGCTACACCTTTCTGAACTGGGAGCTGCAAAGTCTAACCATTGCCAGCCTGGGCTGGGGAGCGTCTCCGGGCAGAGGCCAAGCATTAGGACGAGTGGGGTGAGCTCCAGGCTTCAGCCTCCTCCCTCTCTGTCCGTGTCAGCTGCTCCTGATTCGCACTTGCATTGCCGGTGGAGTCAGCGGTGGGTGTATCACCAGGGGTTATCCACAGACCCTGGCTTCTGGCATTGGGAGGTGAGAGGCCATTGCTCCAGCCCAGCCTGAGAGCCGAGGAGACCAAATGCTCTGTGTAAGGGACAGGAACTTTAAGAAACTTCCATTGTAAAAGAAAGCACAAACCCAGAAACCACATAAATCCAATGTACATTTTGATCAATCAAATGGGGCATTCCACCAGGGGCAGAGAACCTTCCAGACAGCACCACCCACCCCGGCCTAACCACTCCCTAGGAGCAGCCACGCCCCTACCTTCACAGTCATCACTTGCGTTCTTTTCTTTCCTTCTTTTTTTTTTTTTTTTTTTTTTTGTCCATCTCAGAATTCAGAAAGCATCAGAAGTGCTATTCTAGGGGTTAACCTCTGGATTTATTATAGTAAAATATGCATTTCAAAATTTACCCTTTTCAC